AGGGAGGAATCTGATGGGGCAGGGAGGAATCTGATGCTGAAGGTGCAGAGAGTGCACACTTTGATCAGGTGTCAGACACTTTGGTGGAACAGACGGGAGACGTGGCGATAGGGAGGCACCAGTTTGGGTGTCTGTTCTCTGATAAGTTTTACTCCTTTGCTGTGCTGCCTTTGTGCTCTCAGGAGAGCTGGGGAAGTACAGCCTGCCTCTGTCAGTGTTACTCTTGCTGGAACAAGGGCCTCACTTCCCTGGGTAAATTAAGTTCAAACACAGAAATGTAGTATCACCCTGTTCTAGCAATGCACAAATGCAGCAAACTGTTCCTGTGTCAGACCCCTGCTTCTCACTTAACCCTTGGGGACACAAACACAATCCCAGGTTCTGTATCTTGATCTGTTCCTTAGTTCATTCAACCTTAGACTCTCAAAAGCAAAGTGATATTCTGGTCAAACCAGTTGCAAACCACTGCAGGTATTTCTGTACCAGTGGCTTTTGGCTGAAAGCTGCCCTTGGTCAGGGCAGTCCTACACACAGAAAAATTACCTCTTTCAAAACTTGCACTTGAGAGTACCTGAAATTAGTCTCTCAAGATTTTTCTAGTATTGGTTGCTTCCCTCCAGACTTCAGTCTTCAGCTGTTGCCTAGTGTTGATTTCAGCGATGCTGATTCAAAACTGCTTTGACATCAAAAGAAGATTTTTCAGCTTTCTTAATAACTTCTGTTAAAGACTCAAACTCTTTAAGAATTTGTCTTATTTTGAAGTGCAACAGTGACAAACTGTAACTATCTCATCTATTTTTAAGGAATTTTTAATATGCAAATTTGTAGCAAGTCTCAAAAAAAACCCCAAACCATCCCATGCACTTTTGCTGCCAACTTTCCTTTCATGGTCTTTGGGAGAAGTTCAGATGTTTCTCAGCCAGCTCTGTAGGGAGTTGAACACAGCATTATTAATTCTCAAAGATATGTGTATCAACAAATATTTTGCTGTCTGAGTGCAGCAGTGCTCCATTTACTTTGGTAGAACTGCCTTGCTCTCCAGAGAGGATCTAGAGCTACAGTGTTTAGGCTCCCTAATCTGATTTGTAAATGAGGGCTTGGAAGCTGATACATAAACACACACTTTGGGCTGTTACACCAGGCTCAGCGGTCTCTGCATCATAGTGCTGGTGACATGTGATGAGTCTAAGAACTAGAATTTACAAATTAAAGATCAGGTTTTTTCCTTCTTTGATGGCAGTGAATATACAGTGGTTTTCTCTTAAAACAAATACTGTATGGTGTGGTCTGAGGGATTTTTTCCAAGGAAGGAAGGAAGGAAGTAGCAGCTGATCAAACACTTGCCAAATCAGTGGCTTGGCTTATATTGATTTAAGTGAAAACTTGACTCAAACTTTAACTGAGCAGTTTCTGGTGTAAGTAGCAATGCTCATATTCTCGTCAAGTCATTTGTTTCTCAAGAAACATTGTCAAGAAGTCATGACAGGTGATGTAACACAGCTGGTTGGTTTCAAAGGATGTAGTTCCACAGTTGCTGACATTTTTTTCCTTTGCATCATCCCCGGAGTTTTTTCTCAGTATTTTTGAATTCAAAGTATTGATTCTAGGAGCAGTTTGCTGTTGAAGCATGTGTGGGTTTCTGTTTAATGAAACTCTGCATGCACCTTTAGATACTGAGAAGGATTGCAGTAGGTGTTGGGTCTGAATCCCGTCATCCTTCATAATGCACTGGGAGTTGCTCCCATCGATGTGCAAGAGAGTTGTTTCTTTCTGGGATTCTTCTCCAGTATTTGTTCTGTTGACATTTACACTCTCGGTCTTGTCCCTAGCCCTGTGCCCACTGTCAGAGTGGCTGTGTGCCTTGGGGCAGCACTAGGAACAGATGGAAGGGACAAATTCAACATTCTTGGCTTCAGTGTGGCTTTAGCTACCGAGACAAGAATTTCAGCCTTGTCTTTATACCAGGCCAGTCCTGTCCTTGCCTTTTGTGTGGTCATGAAAGCTGGTTGTGTTCCGTGTACAAAACACTGAAGCTGATTCTCACAGTATGCAAGCAGGTAGGGTAAGTTTGAAGGTGATCCAGGTGTGGGATCACTGGGATGTGCCACAAGTTTTGCCTGGATTCTGTATAAGTGTCCCATTGCACTGTGTACTCACAGCCTGTGAGAGGCACAGCCCTGCAGCTGAGCCTGGCAGGCACACCTCGTAGGGAACAGGGAACGGCAGCAGCCCATGAAGACACAAACATCTGCAGCCAGGGCCACGGTACCAGGGTTTGCCACAGTGTGGAGCCAGCTGACAGTGCTACATGATTTTCTGGATACAATGGGTTTTAGCTCACTGGTTGAAGTCTGGAGGTTTTGTTTCAACTGCAAGAGTAGTACCTGTTCAAAGAGACACAGAGGGATTACTTTTGACTTAAACTTTAAACCTCATGAAAACATAACAGTAACAAACATGGGCTTCTGTGGTGTAATTTGGACACCTACCCCTCGAATCCGTATTTCTGGTTGGTGTAGGTGTTGTTAGTGGTGCAGCTGTGACATGTGAGCTGTAGCTTTCACAACCCTCTTGTCAGCAGTGACACTGGCCCTGGCAAACCCCTCAGAGCTGCTGTGCCCCATCGAGGGGCAGGGACTTTCCTGGGAGAGTGTGCAGAGTGTAAAGGGGGCAGGAGGGCTGCAGTTACTCCTCCACACAGGGATCTTACACTACCCAACACCAGCCCTATTTTATATAATACCTTATCTGTAGCTAAATTATTCTGGCTTTGGAGAAGAGACGCCAGAAGGGGAACTGAGAATTTCGTGTCTTGTGAACCTGCTACAGGGCAGTAAATGTTGCACTGATGTTACGTTTAAATACTGAAACATTTTGAGAATTACTGTAAAATTGGTTGTGAGAGCCATTTGTTTTTCTTTGTTGCACAGACTACCCACATTTTTTGCATGGTTACATATTTTAGTACTTGTGCCTTTTACTTCTCTGTTGTGAGGATACATTTTATTTTTGCATTTTATCATCTGTTTCGGGCACTTTTTATATACACTTCTTTCATTTGATCATCTGGTTTCTTGTACATGTGTATATATAAACTAGATCAGATTTGTATTCATGTGCCTCTGAGATGTAAAAAATACTCATTTTGTACAGGTTTTTTTAGAAGCACTAGATCATGGTCTAAATTACGTAGCAAATGAAAATTAACATAATTAGGAGTTCTTTGTCTTCTTTTAGAAATGTTGTGTCAGATGGCTGGTCTCTTTTGTAAGGCAATGTTTCACACACACACTCGCAGATTTATTGTTCTAGTATCGTTATGAGACCAATTCTATCCACTTGTTGGCTTCAGTTAATTCAAAATAATAAAACACTTAACTAAATGTTATTGTCCTGACTTGGCAATTATAGTCTTTATTTCCATTAAAGCCAATTTGCTTCTTTTTATACTTGAAATGGACACCAGACCAAAACCTCATTTGAACACATTGCCCATTTCAGGTTAACTGCAGTTCTGGGATTATTTTTGTGGGATTGGGCAAGTGATTTACTTTGCCCATTGAAATGGAAAGAGAATTAGCATTACCAGTTCATAGACTCACCATCTTAGAGTGCCTGAGATGCTTTAAATTATTCCTTCTCTTTCCTCCCTGGCTTCTGTGACAGCGTTTCCCAAGGACAGACCCTGGATCTGCATGACTGGAGATCTTCCTCTTGCAGATGTGAGAAACTGGGTGTCTCGCTTTTCACATTTTGGCAAATGCTGAATAAACTCCTTCCCATGGGGTTTGTAGCACAGCACTCTCCTGCAGCATTTGGGAAGCTGAATAGATGTGTTGTGAGACTGGACATCTGTAACTGGCAACCAGGGATCTGGTCCTAGAAGTGTCCTTCCCTCCCACCAGCCTCTTCTCGAGCTGGTGGTTTCATGTCTGGAGTGTTGACCCCCTCATCTGGTGAGATCCTCAAATTGTTCCCTCCACTCACACCTTGTGGTTTATCAGTACCCCACTCACCAGCCCCCAGACACAGTGAGATAATAAACTCTGCTAAGTCACAAGGAAGAAATCATCAGTATCCCCTAAATCTTACAAAACAATATCCACTAAATCTTACCAAAAAAAAAAGATTTATCCCCTAAATCTTAAAAAAATCTATAAAATAGTATGCTCTCACGGAGCAGAAGTTTTTTGACTGAATTCGGCACCCATTTGACAGAATATAAAGCTGCCTTAGAAGCAATGAGGTGGTTTTATTTTTTTACTTTAAAGGCTGCTTAGTATGAAAATGAGAAAAATCCACTTGCTCCATTGTTACTGAAAAAAAAAGCAGCCAGCAAAAGTGGCATATGACTATTTTTAATCTCGTTCTGTAATTTACACCACCCGTGAAGTGATGTCAGTACTGTTGCAATGTGCCATTTACACTATTTTCTTTGTATTTTCTTGAAATATTTTCTAGGGACAATAAAGCTGTCCTTGCTGATGTGGATCCTTCAGGTAGCTGTAATGTACAATCAGACATGTAAATAAATTGTTTGCTTTTCCTGCATGACTGAAACGTTGTCTGTGGTGGATGACTGATTTGATGTCCCTCCTTACCTTCCTTCCTGGTCCACCTCTATTTCTGTGCTTCATTTAAAGGAGGACTGCCCAGCTCTGCTCTCCCCTGCCCAAACACCAGCTTCCTTATCTTTGGCTGAGTTATGAGGGAACTCCAGGATGGCACTAGGGAAGGAGTTTGCTCAGCACATGCCTTACCTGACAGCCACAACCATGTAAAACATCCAAGAGCTGTGTGGGATATGTAAGGCCAAAGCTTTGTATGGGACCAACACATTAATCTCCCCTTCTCTGTTGATGGGCACTCCAGCTGTGAGCTGTTTGCAGGATTTGGAGCCAGCTTTTTAATCTGGCCTGTATTTACTGACCTGTGGAGCTGATGAGCAGTGCTGTGACTCCTGCCCTGAGGGACAGTGAGCTGCTGTGGGGAGGGCACAGCCCAGAGCCATGTCCTGGGGGAATCTGGTCTGGCCTCACATGGCCAGCAGTGACCACCCCAGGGCGATGTTCACTGTTAAACTGGAGGTGCCTGTGCCAGGAGAAGCCTGAGGGAAGACTCTGTTCCTGGGAGAGGCTGAGGCTCCCAGGAGTGTCTGGAGGGGCTGTCCTCGAGGGGCCAGGGTGGTGTTAGGACAGCTTGGGCTATGCCTGGGAGCTGGGACCTGTCACTGGTACCTTGTGTGGAGGAGCCCCTCAGCCTGGTGAGGGCTCAGGCCAGGACTCACCACGTTCCCATTCCCGGCGGAACAGGCTCTGCGTGAGGCGGGATGCTGGAGGACACACCGGGGCCCACTTGACCAACACTTTGAGGTAATTTTTTTTTTCGTCTTCTATTTGAGCTGCCAGACCCACTGGCCTCTTCTTTGCACTGTATTTTAACTGCTAGACTTAAAAAAATAAGTGAGGAGCAGTTTGAGTTCGAGGCTGCTTTTTGCAAACTCTGTGGAGTGAGGGGAGGGCACGGTCACCTCAGGAGCAGCCGAGGTGTCTGTGGGCACTGTTGCCCAAAAGAGTGGGGCCCGTGGCTTTGTGAAAACACTGCTGACAGAGGGGCAGACACAGCCAGCCTAGGAAGGTGCAGGGTGCTTCTTACTTGGTAAAAATGAGGGGGGGATTGTTGTGTGTTGGGACAATCCAGGAGCGAAGCATCTCCTCAAGCAGCCCTGTGCAGCTCCCTGCCTTCTCCTGCCTGGCATTGTGTTGGAGGAAACCATCAAGGCTGGCCTGGGAGCACCAGCAAAGCCCACAGTGACATAGCCACAGGGTGCAGGTGGCTCAGGGATGTGTTTCCACAGCAGTTTTACTGGGTTTGAAGTTTGAAGTTTCTGCTGCTTCGTCAGGTGTCATTTGTGCCCTTGATGTAAAAAAATGTGACTGTTTTTCACCTGTGTGGAAGATGGTGAAGGGTGTAGAGCCAGGGAACTGAGCCTGTGGTGTATTATTTAAAATATAAAGTGGAATCTAAGGTGGTAAGATCTCTACCTCCAGCTGGGCTTGGAGCAAAGGAGAGTGGGAAAGGGAATTTTGAAAAGGCTTCACTAATCAGTTCAAGCCTTGCAGGGCAAAGTTTTTCCTTATAAAACATTTTGATGATCTTCAAGTGATCGTAGCGTATCAAACAACTTTCATCCGGCTCTCAGAAGTCTCTAAACCTGGTATGTGTCTTTTACAGTATCACCCCGTGTGGCTGTGGGGCAGCTTTTCTCACTGTGGGTACAGATATTTGGGGAATCAGAGCAAAGATAGTGTATAAATAATACATGGAGCAACGTACCTGAGCATTATCTTCTCAGGCTTTTCCTTTCCCAGATTCCTCCCAGCAATGAGATGTTGGATGTTCAGATTTATAACTGCAGGCTCAAAGAAAACTCCCTACTGTGTATGCTAAATTACTTCACCAGAGAGACAGGGAGAAGTTTTGTTCCCAAATCTCAGCACCTCAGGCTAATGTGATGTACTACTGACCTACTTCCAGATCAGTTACACACTGGTACACAAGAAAGACACAGTGGGAAAGCAAATCACCTGTTACTCTGGGGATAGGAATCATCAGCACTATGTACCACAAAGTCCATAATAGTTTCTAAAAAATTATGCTGTTTTTACAGGTTTTTACTTGGCTGGGGAGAGCCACAACCCTTGGGTCATTTTACAACCAGGAACTTTACAAGCTCAGAACTCCTGGGAGGTGATTCTTATCTTGTTCCTGTCTTTTGAGAGAAGGGAGGAGGGAAGGAGGGTTTGAGGGCAGACAGGTTAAATGAGGCAGTAGCAGAGTAGGAAATAGATTGCAGGAGTTCAAACTGCTGAGAACTTGAACAGTGACAAGGAGAGCTGTTACAAAGAGGAAACACATCTCATGTGAGCACTGAGTGAGTACATTGTCCAACTCCTGTAGTCTGGCAGCAGGCTCTGATCTCCTCATGTTGTCTTGGCTGACACATGTTGTTCAGCAGAGCAGTCTCAAAGCCATGACTTCAGTGCTTTCCCTTGCTCTGTTCACTACTCTTGGATGGCCTATGTTTCAATGCTTTCCTGAATCTCTGAGGTCAGACTGGGATGTGTGACTCCACTCTAAATGTCTTTTGACCCATGCAATGCAGCAAGGACTCTCCTAGCTTGCATAACTTGGGTGAAATTTGTCCTCAGAGCCAAGTGCTTTTTGGATGCAAAAAAGAGGTTAGAGCATATGACTAGTAAATTGAAGACTGTCCCAGATGTATAATCATAACTGTTTGGGTTAATGGTGATTTTAAAGCAACTTTGCAATGATAATATGTCAGCATGTCCTCTGGCACGGTGCTTATTTCCCTCACACCGAGATCTTTGTGCCTGAGCTCACTGACTGATGAGGCAGTTTGCATTTTGAGGCAATAGTGTGTAACGTGGGGTTTATGACTCAGAGTACAGACTGTTTCTGAAAAGACAGAGGAGCTGGGCTGTGGCACCAACTGAGGTAGATGGAACTCAGCTGCTGAAAGGCTGCACTCGCTCTCTCCTTGTTGTACTGGAGCAAATTGCTGGCTCTGTTTTATGAAACACTGTCTCTGTGGCTTTTCCTAATGTGCTCAGGCTTTTATTTAAAACCTGAACAGTCACCAGGCAGGGCTGCTCTCAGGCCCTCAGGAATCCTCTGGCCTGCCTGAGCACTTGTGCCATGTGACACAGAAACAACACCTGACCAAGGCTGTACTTCAGCCTCCTGGATCAAAGTGTGGACTGAGGAGCCGAGCTCTGTGCAGAGCGGTGAATTGGGGGCAGCAGCAGAGGAGTTTGTTTTCATTCATGGAAATACTGTGTAAGTGTGGATTAAGGGTGAAGCCCTGAAGCCCCCCCCTCAGTGGCCCCATGCTGGGGAGCAGCAGGACTGGGCAGTGGGTGCAGCAGAAAACAGCCGGGCTCTTCCCATCACTCTGCCAGAGCTGGGGAGGGAGCAGGAGTGCTGCCAGGACTGTCCTGTGCCCAGGGATGTGGTCAAACACCCACCACCTGAAATGCAAAGTCCAGGGCCATGGAGGGGGCAGGATGTGGCTGAAAAACAGCTGCGAGTTCTGCAACCCCAGCACCTCCTACCATACTGCTTTTTTGGGGCTCTGGGTATCACTGGGATGTTGAGTTCCCAAGCAACTATAACCTCAAAAAAGTAAACCTTAAGCAGCAGAGACAGGCTGGGATAGATTCGCTGCAATATTTTTTGTATGAACACCTTAAAATGGGACCCTGAGGAAAGCAACTTTTCCTCTTTGGAACGAGCTGCTCAGACCTCACGTGGTTGGTTTATTTGAGCAAGGAGAACACTGCAAACACAGGATGCATTCCTGTAATAAAGGTTGTGTAACTCAGATCTGATTTGACAGACAGTGGGGCCTGGTTACAAATTCATAGTATAAAGTAAAGATAGGGATTCTATTATGTGAGATTGGCAGTAGGTTCTAACTGTGCTTTTTTTTTTCCTCTTTGGTTGGTTGGTTCGGTTTGTGTTTTTCAGGACGAATATGTAAACTAAAAAATAGCAGATTGCTTTCTGCTGCCCAGCATTCATTGAAAACCAGAAGCCTGGATGAAAAATTTCAATGCAAAGCTAAAATATGGTTCAAAACCACAACCTTCAAATTCTTCCCTCAGCTAGTGGTGATAAAAATGAGAGCTGATTCATTTCTTGGGTTTTAACCAAGCGTTAGCCATAAGACTAAATATTTGGTAGCTGGAAACCCAAAGGAGGAAATATTAATAATGCAGTATTGTATTTAAGATTTATGCTATTATGATTTGACTGTGTAAACAGAAGATAATGGGATTGAAGTAAAACGTGAAAATTCAGTTTGAATATCAGGAAACACTTCCTGACACAAACCATATTAGATTGATGCTGTCCCAAGGGAAGGGTGGGGAAACGCTGCTGCTTGGCTCACAGGGAAGACACGGGAGGCTCCGGGACAGTCCCCGCCAGCCTCCCGAGTGCCGGGGCAGTCCCCACCATCCCGCGGTGTCCCGGGCCCTGCGAGGGGCTGTGTCCGATCCCACTCGGCTCCTGCCCTCGGGGGATCCTTTCCAGCCCCCCAAACCGGCAGCTGGCGAGCGACAGGGCCGGAGAGTGAGCTTTGCAGTGCTTTTCTAACACCGAACAGCCGCTGTTTGTTTCCCGAGGCAGCTCCGTGTTCCTGCAGGGACGCCCCGCGTTACTCCGCCGCGAGAAACACCGGGAGAAGGAAAGGAAAGCGAACCCTCCCCGGTAATTCGGCGGTGTGGGAGCAGCAGCGCTCGGGGACACCGCGGGAAGGGGTTTCGCAGGGGTCCCGCCGCGGGGGACGGGGCAGGGCGGGGCCGAGCCCCGCGGGCGGGACACGGTGCGGGCACAGGGCGAGAGCCCCGCCCGCTCCCGGCGCCCCGCCCCGCACGTGCCCGCGGCAGCCCCCGCGGGGCGGCCCCGCCGCCTCCCCCC